TGCAACAGTTTCAAGGATGGAGGGCGGGAGGGTTTTAAATTGTGGCAATCGCCTGAGCGCCGCGCACCTTCGTTTTGAAAGCTTGCAGCGGCTTCCAGGACGGAGGCCAGCCTGCTGTCAAAATGTGGCTGTCCACTCAGCGCGGCGCGCGGTCGTCTTGAAATACTGCAGCAGTCTCAAGGATGGAGTGCGGGTGGATTGCAGCATTCAGCGAGCGAAGAACGGTATAACACAAACTTTTTCGCCGTCGGGGACACCTGCCCCTGGGCGGCTGGAAAGTTTATACCCCTACGGTGCCACCGTAAGGGTATAAACTTTCCAGCCGCCCTGGGACAGGCGCTCCCGACAGCGAAAAAGTTTCTTTTAAACCGTTCTTCGCCCGTTAAAGCATGTGGCTCTCGCCGTAGCGCTGGGCACATTTTTTTTAAAGCAGTTGCCAGCAGTTTCGAGGACGGAGGGCGGTTTTCAAAGTTTTGGCTCTCGCCTGAGCGCCATGCACGTTCTTATCATGACCATGCAACAGTTTCAAGGGTTCGTATGGTTGAAGCCCCAGGGCTGCTTTCCTGTCACGATTTAGGATTGCCAGGGAGCAGCAGTCACGTTGATTCGCGGTGCTGGAGTCTCATGAATGGTGTTCTGGCACGAATTTTGGATTGTGAGGACGCACCAGTCACGTTGATTCGCTGCGTTGAACTACCAGGAATGGTGTTTCGGCACGATTGGGGCTTCTCAGACAGTTGTCTTCCGATGGGGCGCTTCCCGAAATGAGCATACATGATTGTAGGGGCCAATGAAGACGGAACGTGGAACGAGGGTTTATCTAATTGAACGCCCTCGGGGGGGCAGACACCGCCGCCCCACTGTTTCTTGAGCCTAGGAGTGCTCCGACAGGCTACCAGGACGCCCGCAATGAGGCTTGGAAAGCCGTCAGAAAGGGTGCACCGCGGGGGGCCCAGACATAGACCAGAATGGGGCGGGTGTGGCGGAGTGGGGTGAACGAGGGAAACAGACAAGAGGCTCTGCCACTTAGTTTTGGGCTCCCTGAGAGGCTCCTAGTGGCTCTCTTGGAGCGCCCTGGACGACCAAAAAAGGTACCCAGAAGGCGCCCAGAGAGCTCGGGGGGGGCCGAGGGGGAGTCAGGACGGCTGCAGAGAGTATCCGTAGATGTCAAAGATGGAAGGAGGGGCCGTGGAGATGCACGGGGGCTCCAAGAGAGGCGCAACGAGAAGCCCGAGGCGGCTGGCATCGGCAACATCCAACGTGTTTTTTCGACGTTTTTTGAACATCGGGCGTTGCAGGTGTTTCGAACCCGAGAGAAGGTGGAGAGGCATCCGGAACGGCCCTGGATAGGCCAGGAGGGCCCCGAGAGGCCCCCAGAACCGGCCCGGGAGGCTCCAGGAGAGGCCTTTATGATGGCACGGCGGCGCCCAGAAAACGAGCACCGGAAACGGTTGTCGTTTTGGGACGGAAGTGGTTGCCAGAGGGCGCCCCGGCTGGGCGCAAGGCCCGCGGGTTGGCAGAAGGAGCGGTCCCCGGCGAGGACCACAGGACGGGGTTCGGGGAGGCTCAGAGGCAGGGATGGGTATGAAAAGTGCGCTGATGAGTTCTTGCAGGGATGGGATGGGTATGACAGTCCTTGCAGTTCTTGCGGTGGTGATCTCGCAGACCGTACCTGGTGGAGCGGCGGTTCGCTTCGACCATTCCGCCGGCCCATCCTGCCATTGTACCTGGATGGTGGGTCTGAGGCCTCTTGGATGTTCGTGGGGATCTCGTCGAGGCCTGTCGGGGGCCTCCTGGAGTCAGTTCTGAGGCCTCTTGGGGGGCTGTTTTGGGGCTTGTTGGACCTTTTTTGGGTCTCTTGGGGGCCTCTTGGGGCCTTGTGAGGGCCTCTTCGGGGCCTCTTGGGGCCACTTCGGGGCCTCTTGGGTCCTCCTGGGTGCCTCTTTGGGCGGAAGGCTCGGATTTTCTGTTCGTGTTCCTCCTCTTGGGCCCCTCTTGGGGCCGTCTTGCGGCCTCTTGGGCCGTCTGGGGCCCTTCCCACAAGCATTGAAAATCCAATGGGAGATCAAGGTTTTTGGCCTCTCGGGGCCCTTTTGGGAAGGCTCTTGGAGGCCTCTTCGAACGTCTTGAGCGCTTTTTCGGCCGACTGGAGGCCATCTTGGGCGTGTTGACCCCTCTTGGACCGTCTTCGGGGCCTTTGGGGGCCCAGAAGACCGCCCCGAGGGGAACTTACCAGGAGTTTGCAAGGGTACTTTTCGTCCGGGAACCTAGGGGCGGCCCCCCGCGCGCGCGAGTAGAAGTGTTCTAAACCTGTTAGCGGAGATCTTAGTGCATTCTTTCTTGTAGGGGCTTGTGAAGACGGAACTTGGAGGAAGGGTTCATTGCAACATTCGTTGACGAGTCTTGGGTTTGCACTGGTTCTTCTCCTGCTCCTCGTCCTCCTCCTCGTCCTCCCCCTCGCTCCTCCGTCCTCCGTCCTCCTTCTCTGTCCTACCTCCTCCTGTTTCTCCCTCCTTCTCATCCTCCTTCCTCCTCATCTTCCTCCTCCCTCCTCCTCCAGCTCACCTGCTTCTTCCCCTTTCCCTCCTCGCCTTCCTTCTTACCTCTCCTCCTCCTCCTCCTCCTCCTCCTCCTCCTCCTCCTCCTCCTCCTCCTCATCGCTTTCAGGCGTGCTCCCGTGGCACGCAGGGTTGCGCGCGGCGGAGGGGACCGCGAGGCGTGAGGGGGTGCAGGAGGAGCGAGACCATGGTGGGGAGGTAGGGGGATGAGGATGAGGATGAGGAGGATGTCGAGGATGAGGATGAGGACGTAGGACGGAGGAGGAGGAGGAGGAGGAGGAGGAGGAGGAGGAGGAGGAGGAGGAGGAGGAGGAGGATGAGGTGGAGGAGGAAGAGGTCGGGAGGCAGGGACGTAGGGGTGGAGGAGGTGAATGATGAGAATATTTTGACGACAAAGACAATGATTATGCGGACGAAGATGATGATGATGATGACGCAGCTGATACTGATTTTCATGATGATGATTGCCATTCTGATCATGATGATAGATAATGACGATGATGACGATGATGATGATGATGATGATGATGATGATGATGATGATGATGATGATGATGATGATGATGATGATAAGGATGACGACGATGATGCTGCCGATGATGAGGATGATGGTGGTGGTAGTGTTGGTGCTGCTGATGGGTGATGATGATGGTGGTGGTGATGATGATGGTCAAGGTGAGGATAGTGTTGATGATGATGATGATGATGATGATGGTGGTTGTGGTGGTGGTGATGATAATGATGATGCCGCTGCTGATGCTGCTGCTGCTGATGATGATGGTGGTAGTGGTGGTGCTGCTGCTGATGATGATGATCATCATACCGCTGATGATGGTGATAATGATGATAATCATGCTGATGCTGATGATGCTGATGATGGTGGTGGTGGTGATGCTGCTGATGATGATGACGACGATGATGATGCTGATGCTGCTCATGCCGCTGATGATGCTGCTGATGATGAGGCTGATGAGGATGCTGCTGCTGCTGGTGATGATGATCCTGATGATGATGCTGTGATGTTGATGCCGCCGATGATGCTGCTGAGGATGATGCTGATGATGGCGATGATGACGCTGATGATGCAGATGCTGGTGCTGATGCTGATGATGATTCTGATGATGATGATGATGATGATTATGATGCTGATGATGATGATGGTGATGGTGGTGATGATGGTGGTGGTGATGATGATGATGGTTGTGGTAGTGGTGGTGATGCTGATGATAGTGGTGGTGATGGTGATGATTGTGGTGGTGGTCATGACGATGCTGATGATGATGATGATGATGATGATGATGATGATGATGCTGATGCTGATGATGATGATGATGATGATGATGATGATGATGATGATGATGATGATTCTGATCATCATGATGTTGATGATGGTGGTGGTGGTGATGAGGATGAGGATGAGGATGATGCTGATGATGATGATGACGATCATGATGACGGTGATGATGATGATACTGATGATGGCGATGGCGATGCCGATAGCGACGACGATGACGATGACGATGACAATGGCGATTACGATGGCGATGACGATGACGACGATGATGATGCTGATGATGATGCTGATGATGGCGATGGTTGTGGTTGTGGTTATGGTGATGATTGTGGTGGTTGTGCTTATGGTGATGGCGATGGTGAGGATGTTGATGCTGACGATACTGATGATGCTGATGCTGATGATGATGCTGATGCTGATGATGATGATGATGTTGATGCTGATGCTGATGATGATGATGATGATGATGATGATGGTGGTGGTGGTGGTGGTGATAATCAGGATGGGGATGCCAGTGATGATGCTGATGATGCTGATGATGATGGCGGTGATGATGCTGATGACCATGCTGATGCTGATGCTGATGCTGATGCTGATGCTGATTCTGATGCTGATGATGGTGGTGATGCTGATGATGAAGGAGATGATGATGATGATGATGATGATGATGATGATGATGATGATGATGATGATGATGATGATGATGATGATGATGATGATGATTACGACGACGATGGCGATGATACTGATGATGATGATGATGATGATGATGATGATGATGATGATGATGCTGATGGTGGTGGTGGTGGTGATGATGGTGGTGGTGGTGCTGATGCTGATGCTGATGATGCTGATGATGGTGGTTGAGGTGGTGGCGATGATCATGATGATGATGGTGGGGTGGTGGTGATGATGTTGATGATGATGATGATGATGATGATGGTGTTTGTTGTGGTGGTGATGACGATGAGGAGGAGGAGAAGGATGAGGATGAGGAGGAGGAAGACCAGGAGACGGAGGAGGAGGAGGAGGATGAGGAGGAGGAAGGGAAGGATGATGATGAGGAGGAGGAGGAGGAATTGCAACAGCATGGTGAGGGATCAGCAGAGGATGAGGCGGGAGGAGGGGGAGGATGAGGAGGGGGAGGAGGAGGAGGAGGAGGAGGAGGAGGAGGAGGAAGAGGAGGCAGAGGAGGTGGTGGAGGAGGAGGAATAATAAAAAGGATACGAATAAATCGCTAATACGAATAATAGTAATATGACTATCAATAGTAATACTAAGAAGAGTAATACGAATGCCAATCAAACGAATAATATTACTAATGCCAAGAAGAATGCTACTAATAAGCGGAATGGCAATACTTATTTTCATAATGATTAGTAAGCGTGGTGATCGTACGAAGAAGACGAACATGACTAGTAATAGTATTCAGAAGAATAAGAAGACTAATATTGCAAGGCGTAAGAAGGGGATGAAAACTAATCTGAATCTTATTAAGAGTAATCGTAAGCAGACGAAGACGATTAATGCGAACACGCTACGAATGATGATGCTACGACTTCGAATGCTCATGCAAATGATACTATTGATAAGAAGCGTCATAAGATTACTAATAATAATAATCGTAAGCAGACGACGAATACCAATACGAACACTAAAACTATGAATAGTAAGAGCACTAGTAGTCATACTCATACTAACACGAAGGCTAATGCAACAACGAACGATAGTCTTAGTATTACTAAGAATATGAACAATACTAAGACTACGGATCATAACAATAATGCTAATGAGTATAAGAAAGGAGGAATACTACCGAAACTGAGACTAAAACTAAGAGTATTAATGATGGTACTATTATGACGAAGAAGACGAATACTACCAATACTAATAATCATAAACATACTAAAAATAATACTACGAAGGAGAAGCATCATCGTAATAATAATACATAATAAGACGAATCATAGTACTAAGAAGAAACAAAGAGGAGGAGGAACCTGAGGAAAAGGAGGAGGAGGAGTAGGATGAGGGGCAGGGAGCAGGAGGAGCAGGAGGAGCAGAGAGCAGGAGGAGGAGGAGGAGGAGGAGAATGATGAGGAGGATGATGATGAGGAGGATGATCGACAGCATGATGAGGGAGCAACAGAGGATGAGGCGGGAGGAGCGGGAGGAGGAGGAGGAGAAGGAGGAGGAGAAGGATGATCTTAGATCCAGGGCCTGTGGCCTCGCTCGGGTGGTCTCCTTCCGCAGGGTTGCACAGAAGGGCCGCTTCTGTCCGCCTCTGCCCGCGGAGTGTCGTGGATGAGCTTCCCATGTAGTCAAGAGTTTGAGGCTCGGTGCCCTGATCTGAACTCAAGATGTTGTATCTTATAACACTTTGCTGACATGGTGCGCCGCCACAAGAACGAGCAATTGAAAGCAGTCTGCTCAAAAGCCTACAAAGCATGCGGATTCTCAGAATATTGCTCTCCAAAGGTGCTCCAGTTGGGTTTCCGAAGTGGCTCCATCTTCCTTAGGTCCCTCTACGCCGACGTTATACGAGTGCAATATTCTTGGCATATCTCACAGACGTCAGACGATGACGCAGACGAGGGTATCCAACCCGTCAGCCCAGCAGGGAAAGGGTCGAGACTTGTAGCAGAAGCTGCAGTGAGAGAGGTTCTTACAAATCAGCCCAAAGAGCCACTGCTCCTTCATAGGCCCATCATTGGGTCTCCTCTGGTGCGCTCCTCGTGCACCTGGGCGCAGCTAAGGTGCGAAGGTGGCTTCATTCCTCAGCTGGGGTTCTTTCTGGCAAAACTTTGATTCTAAGTCTCCAGAAGCCTCTGGAGGTCCCCAGAGGTCTCCAGGGGGGGAGGAGGACGGCGGCGGCAACGACGACGAGCCTCCTCGAGAAGACGCCCCCCATCTCTCCACCCCGCTCCGCGCGTGCCCCCTTGCCCCGCGGAGAGTCTGGAGGGCCGAGGGGGGGCCGAAGATGCTCAGCAGCCTTACTCTTCGATGACGATCCTCTACTCTGGCCCCTCGAGGGCGACGACCACCCGCGGAAGGTGCTGGAGGCCTGTGGAGGCCGCCGGAAGCCTCAAAACGAGATGGAAACAGTGCCAGCAGAGTTTGATCCTCGATCCTCGATCTGTGGCCTCGCCTGGGTTGAGACTGAGTCGGGCATGTCCCTCTACAAGGGGAGACTTCAAAAATAGTCAAAAATAGTTGTTTGTCTACTTTTGAGCAAATTTGTTTTTTTTTGGGGGGGTATTTTTTGATTTTTCGCCCAACATCCGCCTGTAGGAGGACATGCCCGACCAAACGCTTGGGCGGCGAGTCGCCTGCGGAAGGTCATGGAGGCCAGCCAGAAGCTTCAGAACGAGATGCAAAGTTGATCCTCGATCCTCGATCATCGATGCAAGCGAAAAACTGCTCGACCTGTGTCCTCGCTTGGGCGGCGAGCACCCGCGGAAGGTCATGGAGGCGGCGTCCAAGACTCTGACGCCGGTGATACTCGAGCTGGGCGGCAAGGACCGCGCCCTGCGTGCCGCATCAGTCGCGCCCGTCGTCTTCGCCGCCGCCCGTGCCGTCGCCGTCGCCGTCGCCGCTGCCGTCGAAGTCGCCCCCTCCTCGAGGAGAGCGATGCTTTGGGGCAGTCTCCCTATCATTGTTCAGGCGATCGCAAACATGGATTAAGGGGGGGCTGTATTCGCCTCGGGTCCCGTTTTCATGGGGAATCGCGATGTCCGCCGCCGAACGAGGCGGCACCGGCTGCATTTTGGGGAGGGCACCTCCCCCGATCCATGGATTTGGCGAGCGCGCGCCAAATCCATGGATCGCTAATCCATGTTTGCGCGCCCCCGAATTCTTCATATCCAAAGATACATATCCCGAAGTCCCGCCACCGTGCCAGCGCAGCATTCTTGGTGACGACTTTTCGAGGGGAACGGGAGGCCGTCACGTGTGACCCCTCGTGTCCCCAGGCTTGAGGGAGCTATGATGACGATGGTGTTGTTGTTGTTGTTGTTGTTGTTGTTGTTGTTGTTGTTGTTGTTGTTGTTGTTGTTGTTGTTGTTGTTGTCGTTGTCGTTGTTGTTGTTGTTGTTGTTGTTGTTGTTGATGATGATGATGATGCTGATGCTGACGCTGCTATTGGTAATGCTGATGCTGATGATGTCTATGATGATGACGACGACGTGGTGGTGGTGATGATGATGATGATGATGATGATGATGGTGGTGATGATGATGATGATGATGATGATGATGATAGTGATGATGATGCTGCTGCTGCTGATGAAGCTGATGATGATGCTGGTGATGCTGATGCTGCTGATGATGATGGTGCTGATGCTGATGCTGATGCTGATGATGCTGCTGCTGATGATGATGATGCTGATGCTGATGCTGATGATGATGATGATGATGATGATGATGATGATGATGATGATGATGATGAGATGACGACGACGGACGACGACGATGATGATGATGATGATGCTGATGATGATGATGATGATGAGGATGATGATGATGAATGATGATGATGATGATGATGATGAGATGCTGATGTGATGATGATGCTGATGCTGATGCTGGATGCTGCTGCTGCTGCTGCTGCTGCTGAGAGGATGACATGGAGGAGGAGGAGGGAGGAGGAGGAGGAGGAGGAGGAGGAGGAGGAGGAGGAGGATGCGGATGAGGATGGTGAGGATGATGTGAAGAATGATGAGGATGAGGAGGAGAAGGCAGAGGAGGATTAGGAAGGCCGTCCCATGTTACACCTTTCGTCTTCATTAGCTGAGGAGCCCTCATGGAACTCGTTTGCGCCGTCTTCTGGCTGTCTGGGCCTCCTATGAGACAGTCTTGGGGGCCTCTGGGGTCCCTCTTGGGCAATTTTAGGGGTCTCTGAGGTCGTCCCGGGGTTCTTTTGGAGGGCGCGCCGCTGGATCACCCAAAAGGGGGGGGGGGGGTTCGGAACCCCCCCCACCCCCCCCCCCCCCCCCCCCCTCCCCCCCCCCCCCCCCCCCCCCTTGCCCGAGCCGTGTCGGGCGAAACCCCCCCCCCCCGCCCCCGAGCCGTGTCGGCGAACCCCTCCCCCCCCCCCCCCCCACCCCCGTTGCCCGAGCCGTCGTCGGCGAACCCCCCCCCCACCCCCCCCCTCTCCCGAACCGTCGTCGCGAACCCCCCCCCCCCCCCCCCCCCCCCTTTCCCCGGCTCGCGCCCCGGCTCCGGAACCCCATCCCTACCACCCCCGCCCCGACCCCCCCGAACCTAACCTCTAACCCAAACCCTGAACCCTAATCCTTAATCCCTAACCCGAAGCCTAAACCCTAACCGTAGACCTAACCCTGACCCCAAACCCTAACACTAAGCCTAGCCCTAACCTAAGCTCTAAACCTGAACCCTTAACCCTAACCCTCAACCCTATCCCTACACCCTAACCCCAACCCTACCCCTCACCCTAAACCCTAAACCCTAACCCTAACCCTAAACCCTAACCTCAACCCCAACCCTGACCCTAAACCCTAAACCCTAGCCCTAAACTCTAAACCCTAACCCTAAACCCTAACCCTAACCCTAAACCCTAACCCCCAAAACCCTACACCCTAAACCCTGACCCTAAACCCTAACCCTAACCCTAACCCCTACACCCTAATCCTTAACCCTAACCCTAACCCTAAACTCTAGCCCTAACCCTAACCCTAAACCTTAACCGTAACCCTAAACCCTATGACCTAACCCTAAACCTTAACCCTAACCCTAGACCCTGAACCCTAAACCTTAACCCTAAACCCGAACCCGAACCCTAACCCTAAACCCTCACCCTAACCCTAAACCTTAACCCTCAACACAAACCATACCCCTAACACTAAACCCTAACCCTAACCCTAAACCCTAAACCCTAACCCTAACCCTAACCCTAAACCCTAACCCTAACCCTAACCCTAACCCCTAACCCTAACCCCCAAAAACCCCAAACCCTAAACCCTAAACCCTAAACCCTAAACCCTAAACCCTAAACCCTAAACCCTAAATTCCCAAGCACCTCGTTGTGCTTCTGCCCACCCCACCGCGCATCACCGTCGCCGTCTACGAGAGACAGGGCTTCTCTGAGATGCTTCAGCTGGTTGCCCGACTGGGTCGTCCTGGTAGCCTAGGGCTACCTAACCCCACGCTTGGGGATCTACGATGCAAAGATAAACCATGCTTGATCTTCGAAGAGTACAACACCCTAAACCCGGGGACCTTTCGTCCTCGGGTCGGGTTCCTACTTCTCCGACACGTAAAAACACGTGTGGGGCGCTCTATAACGCTTCTGGGCGCACTTGTGAGCGCTTGGGAGCGCCTGGGAGCGTCTGGGAGCGCCTGGGAGCGCCTGGGAGCGCCTGGGAACGCCTGGGAGCGTGCGGGAAGCGCCTGGGAGCGCCTGGGAGCGCTTGGATGCGCCGGGGAGCGCCGGGGAGCGCCGGGGAGCGCCGGGGAGCGCCGGGGAGCGCCGGGGAGCGCCTGGGAGCGGGAGCGCCTGGGAGCGCCGGGGAGCGCCTGGGAGCGCCGGGGAGCGCCTGGGAGCGCCGGGGAGCGCCTGGGAGCGCCTGGGAGCGCTTGGGAGCGCCGGGGAGAGTCTGGGAGCGCCTGGGAGCGCTTGGGACCGCTTGGGGGCGCCAGAGAGCGCTTGGAAGCGCTTGGAGCCATTTGGGAATTTAGGGGCCAGCGGCCCTAAACCCTAAAAGGCTGTAGTTTGGGGGGTTGCCGGCCATGCGGCCGGGGGTGGGAAGATGTTGCACCTCCTGCCCCCCTTCGCCAAGCTTGCTCGGGTCGGCTAACCGCCCCCCCAATCAAGCTTGCCGAAGGGGGGGCAGCATTGCCTGGACTGTCGGCCGCTGCGCTAAGAGAAGCCCTAAACCCTAAACCCTAAACCCTAAACCCTAGAGCGCAGGATTTGGAGGCCCCAATCGGTGAGGGTGAAGTGTGCGGTCCCCGTCATTTCACGCGCGCGACGGCACCCTCACGCGTCGGCCGACGTGTTGCACGCGTGAAACAACGGGGACCGCACGCTTCACCCTCACGCGCGCGTGAGGGCGCGAGTGAGGGTGAAGTGTGCGGTCCCCGTTATTCACGCGTGCGGACGCGTTCGGCCGAACGGGCCGACGGGTGCCGTTCGCGCGCGCAAACAACGGGGGACCGCAGCTTCACCCTCACGCGCGCGTGGTGAGGCGCGAGTGAGGGGTGAAGGGGCGGTCCCCGTCATTCCAACGCGTGCGACGCGTCGGCCGACGCGTGGGGTGCCGTCGCCGCGCAGGAAAAAAAACGGGGACCGCACGCTTCACCCTCACGCGCGCGTGAGGGCGCGAGTGAGGGCTTGAAGTGTGCGGTCCCCGTTATTTCACGCGTGCGACGCGTCGGCCGACGCGTGAGGGTGCCGTCGCGCGCGTGAAACAACGGGGACCGCACGCTTCACCCTCACGCGCGCCGCTCAGAGGCGATTCAGAAGCTCCTCAGGAGCTCCTCAGAGGCCTTGTTTCCGAGGGCGCCCGAAAAGGGGTCGCCCAATACACAATCCAATACAGAAAATGGCTCGTTTCTGGCTCGCACGCACCCCTTCCTCTCCCCCGCTCCGAGGGCCGCGCGATTCACCCTCGCGGGCGCGTGAGGGTGAAGCGTGCGGTCCCCGTTGTTTCGCGCGCGCGACGGCACCTCGCGCGTCGGAGCCGACGCGTCGCACGCGTTGAAATAACGGGGGACCGCACACTTCACCCTCACTCGCGCCCTCACGCGCGACGTGAGGGTGAAGCGTGCGGTCCCCGTTGTTCACGCGCGCGGACGCACCCGCACGCGTCGGCCGACGAGTCGCACGCGGAAAATGACGGGACCGCACACTTTCACCCTTCACTCGCGCCCTCACGCTCTCGCGCGGAGGGTGAAGCGTGCGGTCCCCGTTATTTCACGCGCGCGACGGCACCCTCACGCGTCGGCCGACATGCCGCACGCGTGAAAAAACGGGGACCGCACACTTCACCCTCACTCGCGCCCTCACGCGCGCGTGAGGGTGAAGCGTGCGGTCCCCGTTATTTCACGCGCGCGACGGCACCCTCACGCGTCGGCCGACATGCCGCACGCGTGAAAAAACGGGGACCGCACACTTCACCCTCACCGATTTGGGTTCCAAAATCCTGCGGTGTAGGGCCTAAACCCTAAACCCTAAACCCTAAACCCTAAACCCTAAACCCTAAACCCTAAACCCTAAACCCTAAACCCTAAACCCTAAACCCTAAACCCTAAACCCTAAACCCTAAACCCTAAACCCTAAACCCTAAACCCTAAACCCGAAAACCTAAACCCTAAACCCTAAACCCTAAACCCTAAACCCTAAACCCTAAACCCAAAACCCAAACCCTAAACCCTAAACCCTAAACCCTAAACCCTAAACCCTAAACCCTAAACCCTAAACCCTAAACCCTAAACCCTAAACCCTAAACCCTAAACTCGCCCATGGCCGCTTGGCCCGTATCCACCCACCCATTTAGGCGG